GCCGGAATTTGTAGATTTTGTCAAGCAAGAACGTAAAGCCGCGGGAATTGAAACAAATTCGAGCACCACTAAGCAATAGGATCGGTTAAAAAACCCCCTTTGCCCCAAAAATCATCGGTTAAGCGATTTATAATTTTTTAACCGGTTAATTTTCCATTAACCGATTAACGGAGCCAAGGCTTACTAATAATATTTAAAATCGTTAAATTTTTTCCGATAATTATACAGTGCTGCAGTACATGGTTCGAACAAAATATATTGGTTTTCTGGAATTAGCTCGATTTAAGACGGAAAGCTATCTGAACAAAAATGAATGTCTTTTCAGTTTGATCAGACAGTGCAACGTAAAAACCAAAATTCCGAAACAAAACTTTACCTTAAAAATGAGTATTTTACCAAAAATTTCACAAAAATTACCATAATTTACACTAAAACTACTAACATTTTTGAAAACCATAACCAAACAGAAAAAGGTTTTTTCTTTGCATACTTTATAATATTTAGAGGAACTTGGCGAGACAGTTCATTAAAAGCTACTGTCAACAATATGGATCTCGATGATTTCACCTACAGATTCAATAATTACAGTTATACGACTCTTCCTTACCGAAGCCCTTCCTTATAAAAGCCGTATCCATTCATCTGATCAAGAGATTTGACTAAATTGTTCCTCTAATCAAGGTGAGTTTATTGTTGCAGTATACAAATTCAACTGACGCTATCAGATAACTCATTTTGAACAACCTCTTTGTATCCTACTAAAATCAAATCATCTAAAGCTGTGTTTTACAGTCTATAAAGAATGACAAAACAGAGGTCGCATATCTAATTATAAGATAAGATATGATTTATCGACGAGAAAAATAAACCAAAATACAATTTTTTCATTATTTTAGGGAGAACCCCCGGTTTGAGCAAAAGAACTTAAAAAGCTCAAGTTTTGAAAATTTTGGAAGTGTTCAAGCCAATGTTACATGATTTAGTAGGTTTTCGTTGTTTTTTGGTAAAAATTCGTTTTTGGCGAATAAGTCAAAAACTTCTGCCACATGAAGTTACTCTAAAAAGTGTATACAACAAGGAAAACACGGAAGTCTTCTGCGCAAAAAAAAACAGCACAAAACATCTCGCCTTGATCTCATTAACTGATTAATTTCTTCTTGAACATTTTTGTTAAGTTCTAACATCTTCAATTATTACACTTCTTGATGTTTTGTTTAAAAATAACGTGACGAAAGGTCTGTTGTTCAATACTACAATTTGAATCATGATAATTGAAAAAAAAAAGAAATAAATAGCACACAACCAACAGAAAGTAGCAAAAAGTTTGCTAATAAAATTGAAAGTTATATCATCATGTTACCTTACTTAATAATTTTTGAAGTTGTTTTATTTTTCGGACAAACCAAAAACTTGCCAAATGATATTCATTTATTGAGAAGAGTCGGCAAAAACAAAAAAAAACTAAGGCAAAAACAGCAGAAAAAAATGTCTTTTGCCTTGATCTATTTACTAACTGATTGATTTCTCCCTTAAACTTCTGCGAGTTCCAATTGACGACATCTCGATTCAGCTTTACAGAAATAACGTGGCAAAATATTTCTCATTCCATTTTGATGACTTTTTCAAGAAGTGATGGCTTAAATGCTAATGAGTTCAATGTAACACGAAGAACTGTTTTTTCTATCGAATGCGTTTTGAATGTAGCAGGCAGCACGAACAATACCACTTTAAATATTTGTCATAGCAAATTGTTTTCATAGATTGCACAATAGTCGATATACCTTATCAACATGAGACTGGAACATCAAAATCTATTTTGTATAGAACTGGGCTTCACGGCAAAGACACAGAGCTAAGTCCATTTCAATGTTTTTGTTTCGCATTGGAGTAAGTCGTGTGTTTTGTCTTCTTAGGGTTCTTCCTAACTTTTATAATTCTGTTGATTCTAGAACAGTTTTTTTTTCAAACTTGATTTTGAAATGTTGGAAACTTAAAATATACAAGAGCAAAAAGGAAAAAAGTTAAAAGTTAGATGAAGGCACAGTAATTTGTACTGTTTTTTTTGTACTGAGATAATTGAATCAATTAATTCAGCTCGCACTTATTTGCTTACGCTATGCTTTCAACAAAAACTGGCACCTTTGCGCTCCCTAATTTTCTCAAAACAAAATTTTCAGGTACTCAATTCCAATTCCCATTTTTTAAATCTTGAGCTGCAAACATCAATATATTTTTGCTGGCGCTAATACAACATCGAGCACAAAAATACCTCCTGTCTTGAATAATGGAAATGAAAAACAGATTAACTTTGCAAATTCATGATCTACCAATCATTTTTACCTCCCTATTATTTTGAAAATAGAGGGGCAGAGGCAAAGCGGAGCCTTGGAACACTTGTGATGCAGTTTAAAACATTTCATTGCAAGTTGAAAAAATCTTCTTGAAAAAAGTCAAAAAAATATATATATCGGCGAATACTTCATACCTTTGTCTCGGATGATCTTTCTTCGCAAACAGCCTCAACAAACAATGAGAATTAATGATTGAGCGACAAAGTAAGGACCCAAACTCTTTTCAACCAAAGCAAGCCAAATTTTTTTCAATCCAAACATACACAGCAAAATCCAGAGAACACGCTCTTTCGATTGAATCCTTAATCTGAGATTCGTCATAATACTTTCTGAGGAAACAAAAAAATTCCAAAAAATAGGCTGAATATTCCCTCCTACTGAAGTTTTTTAAGGTCGGAAAACGCCTGGAGAAGTGCAAAGAGGACAAGCGGAATATCTAAATGGTTTTAAAAATCTCGAGAAAAATTAGAACTTTTGCATACATTAGGACTTCTGCAAGTCCCATACATTTTCAAATTATCTTTTTATCAAACAAAAATTAGCCACCAATAAGCCATATACAAAAATACATTTCTATAGATCAAAGTCAACCAGATATAAAAATGCAAAGGTGCCATTCAATAATGAGCACCTATATCTGTGATTTAGGTTGGAAGAAACTGCGGATACCGTTTAGTGACACGATGCTACGCTTGTGTAAAAAAAACTTCTACAACTCATCCCTACTGAAACAGGCAAAACATTTTTAAAAAGCTCAAAAGACTACGCGTCAAGAGCAGTATAAGTCAAAATAACATAATCCGAACCTGTTTCTCGAAAAAAAATCTTTAAATCAGAATTGGTAAATTTACAACCTACAGAACAAGTTTCAGTTATAGTAAAGTCTGTTTCAACCAAATTTGCAGAAAACCAAGCTTTGGAAAAAAACTGCTTGAAAAGCGTACCAGATCATATAAATTACATTTGGAAAAACTTGAAAACCATCGACAGAAACTAGGACGAAAACCACAGATCTGAATAAAATCAACATTTTTTCGATAAATTTATTTGAAAATCAAGTAAACCTCAAATGAATTACAAGATTGTTTCAGATAGATACGCAGAGGATGTGCAGAAGGATGTGTAAAAAAAAGTTGTTTACGGAAAAAAGTCTAGTTCCATATTACAAGTCACTAGATCTTGCAAGTAAGTTCAAAATGTTCAACATTTGCAGCGCCTACATAAAAGCACGTTCCGTGAATCCATTGAAATTGGACCCAACATCCTAAAATTCCAAACAGTATCAAAATATTTCACAATTTTTTCGAAAGCATTAATTTTTTCTCGAACTTTTTCTAGATAAGCCAACGCCATGCATATCTCATTAACGGGTAAAAATGCGAAGCTGAAAAAATTTGCGAAAACTTGAAATTTTTTGTCCATTTTGTATTAGCAACTTATTTGAAGTTCTTGATTCTTTCGGCAGGTACATTGCGAGAAATGAAACCATGATTTTGACTGGAGTGCTTGTTTATAATTTTGAATCTTGAATAATATTCAAGGAACGTTTGAACGAGCAACCTAGGTTCAAGCATTTGTAATATCGGAGATCTTAAGTTTTTTTCTAAAATGAAAATTCCTAAATTATGTTTTTACTCTTTCTTTGGACTTAACAAATGAAAACACCATAATTTATTAATGACCTGTGAAAGTTTAAATTGACCAACCAGTTGAGTCCAAAATCTATCTTAGTTTTAGTAACGTTCAAAATCCAATGTTGAGTGTTCATTAGATTCAACTTTAAGACGCATTCTGCTCGTAGAACATTCTTTCCAATGACTCGCCCAAATAGACTAGCCAAAAACGAAACTGTTATGTCAGTTTTTGAACAATTATATAAGCTACGAGTCATGAAATTTTCATTTATATGATGGAATTTTTCAGCTGGCCTATATACTTTCTGCATTTTTGGTTGGTTTATACTTCGACTGGTTTCCTAACACTATTGTAAGTATAGTCAACTAACAGTTGGAAAGAGTTATGCATGCAAGGAAACTGAAAAAAAACTGACTTGTTTTTTCAAGATCCTTCAACTTTTGAATTTCGGGCAAAATAGTTGGCATTAAAGCTCTTTGAATTTGTAGAACAATTTATGACGGACACTTTTTTGTTTAAAGTAACCCTATCTGAGAAAACTGGATCAATAGGTAAAACTTTTATTTCGCTGGGAAATCTGATAATTAATTTCCATTTTCGAAATCAGAAGTCGATCACGATTTTCGTGACTTTTACAATTTTGGTAATCGATAAAGGAGTTTTCCTTCCTTTTAACAATGGAAATGCGCTGGATTTAAAAAGAAATCACGAGTCAAACCGCGAGAAATCAGAACTGAGCGTGAACAAATTTTAGACTTTTCCTAAAAAAAAATTAGCAAGACCTTTATAAGAGTAGTTACTAAGAACATTGTCCAGGACGCCCTAATGAAAAGTGTTTTGATCATGGCTCAACTTTTCAAGCAATCTGCAAAAATCAGTTTCGGTAAGACAACATAGCACAGTTCTAACGTTCTTCTGGCTCATATGCACTTCGATCCAATAAGCAACAGAAATTGACCTGGTAATAAGCCAGTGTCATTGAATTCTTCTTTCTACCTTGAGCTTTGAAAAACATGAAATACAAAACTTTGAATTTATTGAACGCATATAGATCAATTGATAATACTTTATCGAATAATTGTCATAATTGTTTTTGGTACAGTGGCCTCCATCTATAATTTACAGCACAACTCTCTACACTTTAAGCCCGGTTGAAAATTGTGGTATTACTGAATGAACAAATAGGATTTCAGAGGAGACTTTAATTCATAGCGAGGATAAGTAAATACGGACTACGGATACAATACACTTGAAAATAAAAACAGAAATTCATCGAAAAAAGGGAGAGTTGGATTACCTCAACCAAACATAATGTAACGAAACAGTAGGGATGATAACTCACAATTATACTTAATCCGTAATACTTGGCTGTTATCATGAATCCGTTTTTAGCTAACGAAAAACTGATAATATGCGCAATTTGACGCCCAATATAAATTTTCCAAGTTAAAAAAGCTAATGGGACGAATTCGACATACCAAGGTTTCCGATACTTCCAAGAATTCGAGATTACCTGTACAAATCTGATCCGAAACTCAAGAAAGCGAGAGATCTTGGGGATCTTATAGTCAAAAGCAGGCTTCTTTATACATGTGACACAGCACAGTAAATTTGAGCATTTGCAGATGTTTTTGGATCAATGAAACCAAAATACTTTCATAGCAATATACACATCATTATCTTAAGAGTAAAACAGCTCTTCTACTTCAAATTGATGTTAAGCAAAATACGGTTCCTCAGTCAAAAGAAATACGCATTATTAGAAAGCAGAAAAGATCTGTTTAGTTACTTTTTTCTAATAAAAATGATCTTACACAAAATTCTCCGGACATATCATGTTTATCAATTTTACATGAAATTACTTAAGACTAAGTTAAGTACGATTGGGCTAATTGTAAATTAAGTGAATTAGGGTATGATAAAATACATTAGACAATCTGGTTGTTTGTTGGTTTGTTTGGTTTTTGAAATCACGATCAAATTTGAAGCTATATAAACAACTGGAACGAAATCGGCTAACTGCGCAATGAAGTTAGAATAACACAATAAATTCACCGAACCAGTTCCCGTAGAATAATTCGTTTATAAATACATTACAATTTAATAAAACAAGGTCAATGTATAAGTTACGTTTGTCATTCTTTCAGTTCTTGTACACAACAATAGTCAACAGGTAAACAGAAGCTATGAGTCAATCTTCAGGAGTCTACGATGAAAGGCCGGAGAGATGAGATCGTCTAATGTCTGAGTCATATTCTGATAAATGTCTATTCTGCCAGGTGAACTAAATTGTGCAGTGCACTGGAATTGGACTGGACTAATGATTACATGCTTCCATAGCCAGCTGAGTTGGGCATTGAAGTCATGTAAGGTGGCATGGATCCCGGGTGACCACCGAAGCCTCCGCCTGCACCTGGCATTCCACCGTATGCTCCCGGTGGCATTCCTCCTGGCATGGCTCCACCGTAGGCTCCGGGGCCTGCTGTCAGCATCAGCTGAGGTGCTGCATCTGAAAACAAAGGCATTATTGCTCATAATAGAAAAATGTAACCTCTCAAACACTAAGGAAAACCGCTTCTTTAAAATCAGACATAATCTGCAAAAAAAACTACAACAGAGCTTTACAGTGCAGCTTTGAGGGATCTGTAATAGGATGCATTTAAGATAAAGATAGTTTGGTTTTCACAATTTAGATAAGATTCAGATGGACAATGATACCTAGTACAAGTGGCTGTTGGTTGAATTCCTTCTCCTGATCAGCCTCTTTCCGCACTGCCTCCGCATTCTCCAGTCTATCAATCTACAACAGAACGGAGGACACTTTTAGGGAAAGTTTCAACCAAAAATCATATCAAATTACCCTTAAATTTAGTGCATATTGCCTTAAAATAAATTTAGGGTGACCGAATATGGAGGAGGACCTATAGGCAGTCAGTGGGTCGAGTCCCTCGTGGGAGGGGGAGGCAGGTTTAGTGGGGGCTTATCCTATCATAAATCCACCCCTTAATTATTTGCAATTTAAGGATATTAAAAACCGCATGAAATTTGGTATAAGCAAGAATTTCGGCCTCAGTTTCCTTGTATGACCTATTCCGTTCTTTTATTTTCCCTTCCTTCCTACCTTCATTCCGGACCAGTCGCCTTATATTACCTGTTCAGCGTCCATATACCCTAACCTATCTGCTAGTAATATATATTTTTTTTCAGTCTAAGATCTAGTTCATACCGACTACCGCCATACATCATCAACGAGCATCCTTTTGAGGCTAAGTGGAGATTTTCTTGTTGTATGTCTGGTGCACTTAGTCGGATATCATCATTTAAGCACCGCACACATGTTTCTGCTATTTCACTACTTCTTTTTAGTTTTAAACATAACCATCAAGGAAATAGTACATTGAGCCGACCGGTCTAATAACAGAAATTAATCAATACATTGAAATGATGAAGTCTACTTCAATATTGTTTAAAAACAAAGTCGTAGGTTCTGTTCAACGCACACTTACAAGTTAATACGCCATCTATCACACGAAAAAACCAACCGCTGCAGACATGCCATTTCACACATACGTATAAATTTTATTATACACACAGAAATAGCAAATGCAAGGAAAAGGAGAAAAATAATGTCACATTTGTATACTATGCAAAGATAAAAAAATTTATATCTATATTTGGGATGCAATCATTTCCAAAAACTGAATGAATTAAAATGCTTTTCAAAAGACGGTTGCATCGAACAGACTGACAATTTTATGATGATTTGAAAACTCGAGGGGAGTGGCTTGCACTAGCAGGGCACATTGTGTTTTGATTCAGATTTTTTTTAAAATTTCTTTGATAAAAATACGATCTCTGCTTTGATTTCGTTCCAAACGTTAACACCAATATAATAACTTATTCAGGTAATGAGAAAAATTACAACCAGGAAAGGTTATTGCATCCTCAGCAGCATCCGTCTATTTTCATTTTCGTTTTGAATTAAAAAACCAGTGCTTGGCTTGACATTGACAAAATCAAGCTCCTCCGAAATGCAATCAGAAAAACATTTAAAAACGAATCAATATATTTTTTCTTGATTGCATACTGGAGGAGCTTTTTTATGTCAGAAATTCAGCTTTAATACTTTAATGCACACCCAAAGCAGAGTTTTGCATGAATTGGATTACAGAAAAATAAAACATCACAACTTATTAAAAATGCACCTAAGGAATTATCATACACAGAGGCGAAGCGGAGCTTCGCATCACTTGAGATACAAAGATGTATGACTATGATTACTAGCAAATGAAAAAAAAAACAAATCAAAAACTGAAAAAAAAGATAAAAATTGCAAAAACGGACGAAACATTCCTGAAACAACACTACCTGCACTATTAGAAACTTTACAAGACAGAAGCGAAGCTTCGTTTCGCAAACACTAGCGAGAACACGACAAAAAGCAGCGCTACGAAGTCGAAAAGAAAAAATAGAAATAAGCCTCGAATTAGCAAAAATTTCGCTAGGTCTAGGATTCGATCTACTACCTATTGCAATCAAAGATTTTGAGTCCCACGCACTAACCACTCAGCCACGCACGCTTAAACACCGAGAAAAACTAGTCACGAATAAAACAGCTACATATGCTAACAAATTACCAATGTAAGTCAGCAAAAGTGGCACCAAATAAAAGAAGACACAATTTTGCAAGTAATAATTTGGAATATAACAAACTGAAGACATCCACACTAACTTTGCATGTAACAAATCGCAAAGCATAAAGCCACGTTATGTAAAAATCATGCATTTCAAAAATTAACGAAATAAATGATTGTTGTTGTTTGAAACAAATAGGTTTTTTCGTTTCACTTGATGAATCATCATAAAAATGCATCAACTATGTAAGCTTATTACTATTCGATTGTCAAAGCAAATGCTATCAAAAAGCCGTAAAACTGCCCCAAAATTGACACCAATATTTGCAACTTGGGTTAGAAAAAAAAGGTTCTTAAACTAAGCTGACGCTAGAGTAAAGAGCTTTCAAAATGCTAAAAAGAAACCTAACCTTTCTCCGGGACCTAAGCCGACACGAAAGTCTAGAATATTTGAAAATTATCAGTTTCGACAAAAACAGCTAGACATAAGCTTCGAATCTTCAACGCAACGCAATTTTGTGAAAGATAATATTCTAGATCTATTTAACACTCTAAATTCGGTAAAATTATATATTTTCGATCGCTCTATGAAACCTTTCAAAGCTTCATCGGTTGAATAGCTTGCTATGAAAAACATCAATTTTCCGCTAATCGATTCGCTCCAAGAAATTACTTTAAATATTGACTTGAAATTTACTTCTATTACCTCTATTACTTCACTTGAATAGGTTGCTTAGAAAAACTTCAAACCGGTATCGCTTGCTGAGGAAATTTTAACTGAGATAGGAAATGAAATAGCTTGAGTTGTTTCAAAATTTTGCTCGACTGTCCTGCTCAGAAAATTTTGAATATGACTGCGACCCGATTCACTCTGAACTAAATTGAAATATTTCAAAGTTTCGTCACTTGAATGCTTGCTCAAAAAAAACTATTTTTTGCAAATTGATTGAAGGCATGAAATAACATGAAAAATTTCAATTTTAACCACATGGATGGCTTACTCGGAAAAGTTTTGCGAACTGACTCAAGTTTAAATATTTGATATCTTTAATGTTACATCGCTTGAATGAAAAGATTGCTTCGAAAATCTGTGACCACACAGAATAACTTCAATTTATTCGAAGTTTCATTGCTTGAATACCCTTGCCTAGAAGAATTTACATTTTAGCGAGCCGATTGATTAATCGAGACGGGCTGGCTTGCATAAATAAAACTAGTGCTAAGCACGGCGTTGAACCTACGACAAAAAGCTTTGGAATCTCAAGTCATTCACTTTATGCCACGGACGCTTGACTAACGGCAAAACACTGACCATCAATAAAGCACAGAACATATTTTATGAAATTTCTAACCCACAGACTACTATTAAAGCAAAAGTGCACACGAAGAATTTCGTTACATGACGCAACTCAGGTTACTGGGTCAGAGAAGTTGACTCAAGAATACCCAACACAGTCTTACCTTAGTGAGGTACTCTCTCATGACTTGTATGAAGAATGGCATGGCGTAGTCCATGATTCTGTGCTTCCACGCCAGTTCCATGATCACATCTGGTCGGAGGAGGTCATAGCAGGAGTAGAGACAGGCTGAGAAGCACTCGAAGTTCTGTTCTGAGAGGAACCAGGCCAACAACTCCTCTGCTATCTCTGTATTTCTACTCTCACATGCGTACTGCATAGCATCCTGACAACAGACAAATAATATACATCTTCAGATGTTTAACGTTTATCTTTCATCATGACTTCTTTCAAATATTCAGATATTTTATGGAAGCTATATTTTTATTATTCACCATTAAAAATGGTAATTGGAAAATGAAACAAATTTATCCCCATCCCCTTAACGAAAATGTGCAATTGTTTTTAATTTTCACAACATCAACAAGCGTTTCCTAATCAGATAGACCAAAAAACTATCTTTTGAGAGCTTCGAACATTGGTTCGAATAAAGCAAAAATGCCCCGAAGTTCAGTTTTCAAATTGCCTCAAAAACAACAACAAAAACACTATCACGACATCTAATTGAAACAATTTATATTTACAAGGGCAACTAAATCTCTATCCTGCGACAAGAAAAATAAAATTACTTCAGATAGGTAGTTAAAAATTACTCGTCGCCACAATATAATTCTACAATATACAATATTTTTTAATTCTAGCAATGGAATAAAAAATGATTCTCAGCCAAATAGTAATTGTCAATATGAATGAAATTTTAATTTCAGATCCGTCTGAGATCTTGAAGAATTCATTTCAATCATTTGCTTTTCAATCAATAACTGAAAAACTTATATTACTAAAATTGGTCTAACTATAAGCCGAAATAACAGTTTATTGCACTCAATTAAAACACACTTAGGCATCAAAAATTTGAAAAAGGATAGCCGATTACTTTGCAAGTAGCACAGAATGTCGACCATAGTCGTAAAAAATATAAAAACCTTTTTTTTTTTTAAATTTTAGTGTAGTTTTTTCTGCGTGGTGTGATAAAAAAAACTAGAAATAAAAGTGCAATAAACAAAAAGTAGAGCTAAGGCATAATCGACAGTCATAGTAAGGCTTTAATAGAATATATCACTCAATCCAGTCCAATGATTATTGGTGGTACCTGATTTTGTTGCATGGAATGAAAAAGAGGAAAATTAAACACACCCGAAAACAAAATTGCTCTCCACTTTTCAAATGGTCGGAAAAAAAATTCATTCACGTGATCCTAATTTTGATCAGAGGCGAAGCTTCGCTTTGCAATGCAAACACTTGCGAGAGTAATACAAAAACCAGCTCTATAAAATGCAAATAAGCCTCGAATAAGTGAAGAAAAAAACGGCTAGGCAAAGTCTGAAACTCGAACCTGCTACCTACCTAGAGATTCAGAGTCTCACACACTAACCACTCAGCCACGGACGCTTGATACGCACCAAACACAAGCCACAAAAAAGTAAAGAACAGATGCTATGCAATTTCCAATGCTACAGTGAAATTTCCAAATAAATGAACACTTTTAATGAACACTTATATTTGCGAGTTAGGTAAGAAAAAAGAAGAAGGTTCATAATAATACACTAAGCTGATCATGAAGTGTAAACATGAAGTCATTACTTTATCTTCACACTTTTGCTGTTCGATTGTGGAGCTTGCTTTCACTTAAACAAACTAAACTGAAAAAAAAAGGCCAATCCGCAACAAAAAAATTGAGCATGACAATTAAGACTTTTTTACTGGACAAAAATCACCACGACTTATATAAGTCACAATCACTTCGCTCTTACACACAGATATAAAATGAACTTTTGAAACTTAAAATTTAGCTCGGTTCACCATCCATAAGCACTTTTTGTCGAAGGGCTCATATTGACTCCCATTCCGTAAAGAACTGAAAAAGCTCAAAAAACAAATTTTGCACAGTGGCGAAGCTGCGCTTCGCAAACACTTGCAAGAACACGACCAAAAAGCAGCTCTATCAAGTTAAAAAAGAAAGTAGAAATGAGCCTCGAATTAGCAAAAACTCGGCTATAAGTAGGATTCGAATCTGCGTCCTACTGCAATCACGAGATTTTGAGTCTCACGCACTATCTCCTCAGCCACTTAAGCTTAACAACTGACAAACACTAGTTACGAATAAAGCAGCTACATATGCTCACAAATTGCCAATGCTATTCAGCACGAAATACAAATAGACTCAATTTTGCAAAACAATACACTCAATTTGGAATATACAAAACTGAAGGCATCCAACCTAACTTTGCATGTAACAAATCGCAAAGCATTAATCCACTGCTATATACCACCGATTGTAAATAGACACAAACTTTGCATGTAATAGCTTGAAAAAATAATGAGCTAAAGGCATCCACACAAAATTTGCGTGGAATAAATTGGAAAGCAAAGTCAAGTTATCTATCAATTATGCATTTCAAAAAATTGCGAGATAAATTGAGTTGGAAAATTTCTAAAAAGCGGTTTTTTTAATGTACAAATAGTTTTAAATTAAATAACTTTTTTTGAACAAATAACTTTTTTCAGTTCGATTGAATCAAAAATGAATCGACTGTGTTAACTTATTACTAATCAAATATTAAACACAGAGGCGAAGTTGCACTGGGAAAAACTGAATGAGTAAAATTTTGAGTCTACATAATTGCTAAGTGACGCTAACCAACTATGACACATTAGCAGTACCAGTCAATTTTAAAAAAAAATTACCAATGAACATGACTCAATTTATAGAGCGGACGCATTTTAAAAAGTATACGAAAAAGTTCAATAGAAACATCCGTCCCTGCCCAGGTTCGAACCCTCTTATTTTGTTGCTGGTCTCCTTTCCTACCTCTACGCTACAGATCAATGATACCTTGAAGCTAAGTGCTATTCGTAATATAATAGTCTGTGTTAATATCCTTAGCATTGGCTCCACTTAACAGCTGGATCAAAATGAACATTTTCAAAATTAACACATTTTGTCGCAACAATTGCATCGCAACAATATTTGCAAATTAGGTTGAAAAAAAAAGAGAGTTAATACTATAACACAAGCTATGCTTGTGTAATCACGTGAAAAAAAGAATAGTCGTACTATTACAACAAAGCTCGCTGTAAAAAAGATTAAACCATTGCTATCAGACACTTGAAAAATGCCCATGAACAGAAGAAACTTGAAAAAAAAAATTGCAAGGATATATACATGGTCTTGCGGGTTTTTTGATTTCAAGAATGTTTTAATGATTCTGAGTTGAACTGAACTTAAAAGAAAACCAAAAAACAAATCTCGACAAAATTAAACTTGAGCTTCAACTACTTTCCTATAAAAATTACCTACAAAAGGCTTCACTTTTTTCATTGACACCCAAAAATTGATGGTTTGATTGTTAAAACAGGCAAAGCAAATTGCGATAAAAAATTTTTTTGAAAGATCGAAATTGATCTACCAAAAACTTTCCTACATTAGTCTTGAATAAAAATTTCTTTCAAAAATATGCCAGGAAGCAAAACAATTGAATGTTAAATATGGATGGAAATAAAAATTACAAAGCGGTAACAAAGCCGATAATTCTTGAGCAGACATGTTGCTCCAAAAAATGTTTTTATTACAAAAACTTAAAACCTGGCAAAAAGAATTATCAACTCCCCCTCAAAACTTTTTGCTCCTCAAAACCTCAAAAAAGAGACCTCTTAGCCGATATATTACAAAATGAAACCTTTCGGTCCAATAAAGGGAAGAAAATAATAAACAATCATCTGTAAATTGACAAAAGTGCAGACTTGGAGATGACTGAAGTTTCAGCCATCTTGTCAACAAAATTGTTCACGAGGAAAAAAGTCAAGTACCCGGCTGCAAAACCCTAGCTTATTGCAAGGGTAAACATTCTAATTTTGAAAACAACCAAATGACAGTCGGAAAAGAGTAATGAATGCAAGGAAACTGAAAAAAAAACAGACTTGAATTTACAACTTTTGATTTTCGAAGAAAAAAATAGATGGCCTTAAAGCTCTTTGAATTTGTAGAACAATTCATGATGGACTCTTTTTTGCTAAAATTAACCCAATTGTAGAAAACTGGATCAATAGGTAACACTTTTATTTCACTGGGAAATATGATAAATAATTTCCATTTTCGAAATTAGAAGTCGATCACGTTTTTCGTGACTTTTACATTTTAGCTGTTCGATAGTTGAGTTCGCCTTCCTTTTCACAATAGAAATGCACTGAACTTCAAAAAAACCACAAGTCAAACCGCGAGAAATCAAAACTGAGCGTGAACAAATTTTAAGATTTTTTCCTGAGAAGTCAGCAAGACCTATAAAAGAGTACTCACAACGTTCATTACTGTTAAAAAAAATTTCAATGAATCCAAAGTTAACCCGCCAGTTATAAGAACTTCTCTGAACAACCTCGGCTACTTGTACATGAATTGAGAAGTTTTGGTTGAAATGTCAATTTATATGAATGACCACTTGTATTTACCACTAAGATATTCAGGGCGACATTGAAAACGCATGATTCATTTCAACTCATTTACTCGCTACGATGCTCCTTAAAAATGTGGAAAACTCTTTGCAAATTATTGGTGCCTCTAAATAGAGATAGAGAAAAAACCAATATAATCAAAGAGACGCCGATAATAAAGAAACGCCTCTCGCCAATGAGTTAAAATAACGTTTTGGTTTATGGGCTAGAAAATGTTATAATTAAAAAAAAACAGACAATTTACCTTGAAAAGCATGTCTTTCTTGCACAGTTCCACACTCTGTAGCCACCTGTTGTTGCCTTTGTACAGATAGGCAGAGATACGTCTGAACTCCACTAGCTCGTGTTTCTCTAGCCTCAGAGCCAGACTGATGTTGTCGAAGTTGTCGAAATTGTCAATGGACGTCCTCAGTGTGTTGTAGTCCTCTTGTTCGATCAGGATGTCATTCACGGCCTCGTTGATAGCCTAAAACAATCAAAATGCTCCCAACTTTAGCATGCATACAAACTATCAGAGAACTAGAGAAGGATTCCCTGTCTCAACCAATACTTCAAATAAATAGCCAGATATTGGTGCTCAAATGATCTTTGCCTGACAACTAAATACATCAATTTCATGTCAAATTGGCAATTTAAAAATTAATCCTTGTATTTTTAAAATACAAACAGTAAAAGTGATTACACGCTTGATCGCGTTTCGGCTGGTAGTAAATCGATAAACATCAGATGACCTATTAAAACTTCAGAAAAGGTTCTTATGAAGACGATTTATTATAATTTCAGAAACGGTTTTTATAAGATGATCTATTACAGCTTCAGAAAAGGTAGCTATTTTACTTGAGACTTTGTACCTTGTTGTTCTGGTTCTGGACACTCTTGAGGTAGGGCATCACTAGTGGCATCTGGTTGGCCTTGCGGAAGAAGGACACTGCTCTTGTGTGGTCCAGACGGGGAACCAGCACTTGCAGCAGGTCATTTAGCAACATGGGCTTGTAGTCCAGGTAGAACTGGATGCTCTTGTAGTACAGCTCAATGTTCGCGACCTATAAAATATAGTAATTTTCAGCAAATGTCAAATCAAATAGATTAAATCAATTATAGAAACTCCATTGAACCAATTGAGACATTTGAAGCCGAACCTTTTTTTTCCATTACGCTTTAACATCAAGCCTATTACACCAGAAATCATGTTCAATAACTATGGTTTGTGAGCAAAATAAAATGGCCAAACACAAACTCAAAAGATTTCGCACGTTCAATTTTAGATGTCTAATTCTGATTAACACCTTTTACCTTCGTGACGATATCTTTGAAAAGCGATTCCTTCCAAGAGACTGTCGGGTGTTTCATCATTGACACAATCGCATTATCATACTCCTCATACTTGTCATACAAGAACACCAACTCCGCCCATAAGTGTGCTTCTTCAGCAGCGCGTAGCACTTTCGGAATGTTCACTCGTGACCAGAACAGCTCCAGATGTTCCCGCATTTTACTCGGCTTGAACTTCGAGTATAGAATTGCCAGTTCCGTAAACATACCCATATGCGCTCTTTCCAATCCCAGAGCCGCCTCCAAAAGTGTAATCAATTGCTCAAAATATCCTCTATCTTGGTAGAAATTAATCAGTTCTTCAAGTTCATCGGCATGAACAACGATATGAAGTCCACACATTTGAGCCAATCTGAACTCCTGGCCCTCGACACAAGCGAAGCAGACCTCTTTCCAGGTGCGAGTGGAGTTGGCCTTTCGCGCCCCGTCCACGGCCGCTTGGTACTCGCCCAGGTGTACTAGGGTGGAGGCCAATCTGGCGAAGTTGGAGATGTTGTTGAAGAGGAGCTTGGCCGCCTCGTAGAGTCCGTCGTCGAAACATCTGTCACCCACCTGGAAACAAACCACCCAAACTTACGCCTAGTCAACTTGATACTTTGACATATTTGATTTTTTAATTTTGAATTAGTTCATTGTCATTTATACCTCCCATGAACTGTTTCAGTGTTTCGGGTATAAAAAACTGGCGCCGAGTTTCAATGCCTCATTCTTATTCTCATAAAGTATTTGGACGAAAAGCGGATTCTGTAGCTGACATCTACTAATTCGGCTGCTATGAGTTAACTCATCGGGACTATCAATTCTCAATTCAATTTCGAAACAACTCCGTTGCCTGCCAAAAGATATGTGGTTATTTAAAGCGACTGAACGCGTACCTGCTGAATGGATGCGTGATTGGGACTGGCTAGGAACTCCTCCAACTCTGCCAGTCTGTCGGTCTTAGCATATGCATAGATCAACTCTGTCTCTATCGCTGGCTCCTTCGCCTTCTTTCTTGCCATGCTCAAATACTTCACCAACTCCTCGTACATTCCTAAAACAACATTCGAAACATTTTCTAAGTCGTTTAATTGCGGGGCTCAAAATTTTTTTTTGAATCTAATGTTTTTCAAAGCTACATCAATTAAATGAATACTGTTCTCGATTACCAGGAAACTTTTTTTGCTATGAATCTCACATCGGATAGCATGTGGCAAACATCTTGGTGTATGGCTTATAATTTCAAGTTATCCGTAGCAAGGAGGTTGAGTAATTGATTTTAATTACTTAGTAATTCTTTTTTTATGGAAAGTAACCAAAATGAATTACTCAACCTCCTAGCTTCGGAGACCATGAAATTATAAGCCATACACCAAGATGTTTCCCACATGATATCCGATATGAGATTCATGGCAAAAAGTTTCCTGGTTATCGACAACCATATACATTCAATTGATGTATATTTGAAAAACAAAAACTCGGATGTATATTTGAAAATCGGATCAATAGATATCTTTTTATTTGGCTGGGAAATCTGATAATTAAAATCAATATTCGAAAATAGAAGTCGATAACGTTTTTCGTGAGCTTTGCTCTTCGATTGAGGAGTTTGACAAAGAAAAAATGAACTGAACTTAATTAAAAAATCAAAATTCAAACCGCGAAGAAGTAAATTTAAGCCTGAACAAAATTTAAGACTTCCTGAAAAAATGAGTAAAAAACCATCCCGTCCCATATAAAAGTCTGAAATACGGCCATCCACTGTTAACATAAAAGTCCCTACCGTTGGTCTGAGCCGCCTGAATGACACCCAGGTAGTTAGTTGGATCCTGTGCCTTGATGTAACTGTCCACTGCCTCCTTCATCAGTCCGTCCCTCAACTGGGCCCCTCCCAGGAGACTCCACACCTCTGCCATGTTGAACTTCTCCGCGTACTCATAGGCCCGGTCTAGGTTCTTCACATTGTCTATCAGCACCGAGATCGCACGCGCATACTACAACACATGTATATGATAAACACATCATACAATAACTTCACTATTTCAGCTCTGCGGTCCAATTTTTTCTAAATTCCAGACAGCTATGCAACAAGGCACAATTAGATTAAGTTTGAACCACACGCCTTTAAACTTATTACATAAAGAAGATCTTTAAAAACTATAGACCGAATCGAATACAGAAAACCTTTAGCATTATTCTTTTTTGACTGGAATTTTGCTTTCTTATCGCCGCTAGCAAAAAAGGCGGATTTAAAAAAACTCACATTTCGATATCAATTGAAAGATTCTAAACTACTAACAAAGCTAGTTGAACATTGGGATAGTTAACCTGGTGGTTCTTGTTGAAAATGACGATGGCCTCCTCGAACAGTTCATTGTCGATGGCGATGTTGGCTATGTCTGGGGCGTCGTAGTTGTCCAGTCTGTTGATGTACTCCATCACCTTAGTCGTGTCCGCCTTGATCGCAGTCAGAATCAACAGGTTCTGCAGATTTCTGAAATAAAACTCAACATTTAAAAGGTGAAAAACAAAAACAAGATTTCATTCCTGCTCGAAAAAAAATCAGTATTCATTGAAAAACCTAGTTGTTTTTGATAAACCTTGTTACCCAGTAAAAAATATTTTAAGTTTAGATGAATATCAGACTTATTAGCCTTTATTTCAGAAAACATTGTTCTTCGAAGCCCTTTCATTCAACTTAATGAATATTCTCCATGGTTTTAAAAGTCTCAGAAAAGCTCGGAACAGTAGAAAAAATGTAACAAAAACCGTCGTAACTATCAGCGTTTATTTTCACCAACACCTTTATTGAAACAGACTGGTCACACCATGTATCATGGCACTAGTAGTATGCAGTAGTGAAACTCACTTGTGGTCTGAGAATGTGCTGGACTCGAGGACAATCTTCTCGAGTAGTTCTATCAACTCAGTGGGTAGGTCTGCAGTCATGAATGCCTTGACTGTGACTGTGATGTCGTCCGGGTCCTTCGTCTCACTCAGTGCAGTCTGCACCACCTGGTCTATCAGCTGCCGCTTGTACTGGTTGTCCTCCACCAGAACCTAATACAAAACACACGACACCCAAAATTAAAATTCGGCCAGTGTATTTGTAAAATTTTACAAGCGATCAATAATTGCTAAAACAGTCCCCAATTTCAAATCAAAGGATGCTTGATTATTTATTAAGTCAGGTAAAAACAACCAATTTTTGAAAGAAAAACTAAAAATAAAAACTTCTTGCATTTCAGTTTTTCTTTCGTTGAACTTTTTTCACCAACTTTAGTTTCTAGGACGCACAAAAATTTAGCAACAGCATAACTCGTGAGCAATAAATACGATTGCTTTTCAGGTGCTTTTTTCTTTATTAGATGAAGAACATTGAATCAGAAAGATTTTTGAGCATTTGTTCATCCCTAGACGTAGCTACCAAGTTACATTCATCATAAAAAATAATAAGATACTGACCTGCGCCCAGAGATCTGCATCTCTCCTTCTAACTAGGTACCTGGCCTCACTCTTGAACAACGAGTTCTCGTTGCAGACCTTGATCAGCTCCTGGTCACAGAATCCCCTCTCATAAGCCACACATGCCAAGTGGGGGTTCCTCTTCTCGCAATACTTGCCGATGACAAGACTATCGTAGAACTGGTTCTCACGCAGAAATCTAAAACCGGTATTTCAGAACACATCCTGGTTACTAAATTTAGGGTCTGCTTTTAATAATCATGGAAGGCGATGGACTAAGTAAAATTGTCCGACCAGTTAAGTTACCTTATGACGATTTACCCATGAGGAAAAGTACCAACATACAAATTGCTTCAATCTTTATTGAATCCATTGAATTCAGGTCGTCGAACAAGGCTAAGATCTATGACTAACCTCTCAGCGTTGTTGCTGCTATCGATGTATATTTTGGCTAGTGCATTGTGAGTCGCCGGTTCATCTACACCTTCATGAGCTCTAGTCTCCAACCAAGGCAGGAGCAACTTCAGTCTGAAAAGAGTCCACACTTAAATATTGGTTAGAAGTAAGCGAAGGTTCTGGCAAGGTTAAATCAAGCGTTTCCAATATTTCAAGAAGGTTTTTGCATTCCCCGCCGTATTTAGATTTAAAAAAACCAATTAGTTTATAAATTGTTTTTTTTTTCTCTAAATATGGTGGGGGATGGGCCATTAAAATGCTTTGAGTTCCTTTTAATTAATCTGCGAAATCTAACTGATTTGCAATCACTCAGATTCTGGGAACGCTACACTAAACCTTGGCCAATCCTTTCATCAGACCAGACGCAAACAGCAGAAAGTTTGTTTATAATAAAAGCACAGCAATCAAAAACAAAAAGAAAGATCCTGTCACCATTTGCGCAACTAAATGCCAACTCACTTCACTCTTAAATAAATAAAAGAAGATAGTAAGCTGTTAAAAAATGACCGACAAAAATCATACTAACAGTTACCGCTTTAATCAATCATCGATAACTATGGGATTATTAACAGATGCCAAAATGATGCAAATCTGACATACAGTCATCATCATTATCAACCCCATTGAACTACTAGATCTTGCAGTCACCTACGCTTGTCCTTAGAATTTGTGAACATGAAAGTTATTCAATCAATTAGAAAGCCATTTTTGACCGCAAGTAGACAGAAAAAAAAAAGATTTTTTTTTTTGAAACATTCGATTTTCCGAGAAAAAAAATAGAGGGCCTCAAAAGATCTTTGAAAATTTTGAAAAAACAGGTCAAAAAAGCCGTTTTTGGGCAATTTTTGGAATATTTTGACAAAAAAATCGCGTTTTTTGGCTTGTGCTCCCCTCAAAGTTAGTATATATTGGCGCCTTTAGAAAAATTTTAGGGGAGTCGGCCAGAAATGGATTTCTTAAAAAGTAACAAAAAGGGGACACTTTAGGTCGGCAGGGGGTCAAATCCCTAAGGAGGGAGCGTCCAGCCCCCCCCCCCCCCCCCCAGACTAGGAATAATTATTTTATTTCGCTGGAAACTCTGATAATTCAATTCTATTTTCGAAATTAGAAGTTAATCACCTTTTTTCGTGACCTTAACATTATCTCTGTTCGATTGTGGAATTTGCCTTACTTTTAACAAAGAAAACAAGCACAAAAGTCAAGCCGCAAAAAAGTAAAGTTGAGCCTGAACAAATCCATCCTGAAAAAAATCATCGCAACCTATATAACTACGTTCATCGACTCTAAAAGCGTAAGCACCGTTTCAACAAACACTGAAATTAAAGGTCCATTGACATTTGTGTCCCAGACATTTGTGTCCTTGACTAAACAGTCCGAAATTATAAAATTGTTCCAGACATTTATGTCCCAGACAAAAATGTCCGAAACTGTTTTGCGAAACTTCTTTGATTTGACCTAGTGATCTTTATTGCTTTGTTCTTTTGGTTGTTTGATCGTTCTTTAATTAGATTCTATGCGTACCAATTAGTCATAGAACAGTCAAAGTGAGACAATACTTACAAGAACAATGTGAACTTTTGAAGCGCATTTGGCCGAGCGATGAAGTCATAAGTTTCAAGGTCAAAAGGTCTGAAGTTCAAATCTCAGGTCCGACAAAAAATTTTCGTAATTGAGTCAATATTTGAAATTAAAAAAACACAAAATTGGGTAAACTAATTGGAAGGTCAAAAGATCTGAAGTTCAAATCTCAGGTCCGACAAAAAATTTTCGTAATTGAGTCAATATTTGAAATTAAAAAACCCAAAATTGGGCAAAGTTCAAATGGGTTGACTTTATTGAGCCGAAAGGGAAGAGGATGGGAAAAGCTTGATTACATTAATTATTTTGCCGTTTTCAAAACGGGTCTAGCTCAATTTTGAAAATTACTGGGGAAAAGTTCAACTTAGAAAAAGTTATTGAAAACCATTGCTTCGCAATATCAACTTTGGAAAATAAAATGACTTTGAATTATAGTTTGATGTTGCTGCAGCACCCTTTTAGGAAACTCAAAAATTTACTTGGGTCGTAGGCCGCAACTAATTCGAAAAGGTTTTTGTCAAGTTTGACATAAAGAGGTTTTTTATAACGTGACACTCTTTGCCCGGCACACATTTTTTCGATCAAGATTTCAGCGTTTTTCTGTTCGTCTTGAATAATTTCTATGAGTTTGGGAAATGATGGGTGCTTGCCGTTCACGAGCTTGACGAAGTTGCTATTCCAACCTTCAACAGCAGTGTTATTTCTGGGTCGCCCGGTTATCACACGTTGATGACAACTCCAGCTGTCAACGTCAAATCTGGGGTGTTGACGAGTTCCATTTGCCACCGAGAGCCGACCAGCGTAATTGTCCTCAAAGTAATTGAAGATTGGGTGGGCTGTCTCAGGGCATGTCTTCTGAAGTTTCAAAAGCAGTAGAAACATCACTTACAGGCAGGAAAGCGATACTCAGCAGCATTCGGACATGCTCGCGGAATTCTAGATCTAGTCTGTAGTTGTTTGTATTTCCAGTAGACTGAATGTGACGCCAGACGCTTTGGCTCAAATGGAAAGAGCAGTATTGAATTTGATAATTTTTGGATACTAAATTGAACACATTCTGGGCCGTTTTTCCTGTTTTACTCTGTTAATCGTCCTCTGGTTGGCAGAATAGCTCCGGATTACTGCTGCAGTCTCTCTGTTGATGTGGCTTTGGACGGAAAGAATTGTTTGACGTGGTGGCTCATCTGCCAAAACTGCTCTTATTTTGAGAGATGTGCTAAATTTTCGTCTTTCAATATCGGCTGGATCGGGAAAAAGACTGATCATTTATGATAGTGACGTTATCTTGGAAAGTGCGCACACGGCCATTGCATTTAGATAAAACACATCGCCACGAAATTGAGGTGTCTGTTAGAATCCGATGTTTGAAGTATGCGTATGCATCATAAACTAGCATTTCGTAGTTTTTATTTGTCATAAGAATTTCCATTGTCAACACGAACTCGAGAGCAAAAACAAAGAAATTATGATCTCTCGTGTCTACGTTTAGCAACACTATCAATCAAGCGATAATTGTGTAGGTATGTGTAAATGATTTGAGTCCTGTGTTAGTTTTGTCTCTAATATGCTGCGCAAAGTAATTTCTGGTCTAATTGCTCAGTTGCGTAGCCTTATCGATTTAATCCTTCCTATTGAGAGCTTATCAAATTAATCCCGTCATTAACTAGTGTGGCAATAGCCCGATAATTTTGGGACAGTCTTGGACACTTTTTGCATTTTGCACTGTTCTTGCCGGGACATACATGTCTGGGACACAAATGTCCTGACACGGAAATTAAAGCGTTAACTTTTAGTCAAAAAGCTCCATGTCGCTTTTGAAACATGATTGAAATAGTTTGGATCGAGCTTTACAAATACTATTCATGAAAAATTTCCATTGATTTAATTTAGAGAAACACCTGCCTTACCATCACAAGGATAGCTATCGATAACTTAGATAAAAAATTTAATTTCACAACAATAGCAACAAGACTGCTGGTATCAGAACAAAATGCCAAATATTCTAACTGCCCGTTAGGGTATCTGAAGTAGTTTTTGGTACAAAACATGAAATTTCAGGTAAAAAAATTCTTATGGCAATCCGTCCCCACACGCGCAGTTTCAGGTTAAAAAATTTCCCAACAAAGTTTAAAACATTTTCTCATTTATTACCGCGTTCTTAGGAAGAAAAAGCTAGCCTGAATTCAATTTGTAATAATTTCTGAGTCGTCTTAATTTTCCGCTGACTTTTTCCGTCTTAATTTTCCGTGTTAAAAACGCCGCATATCCAAGCGTTGATAAAAAAAACATGTAAAAAAGCTAATTGGTTATCTCAAAAAGGTCAAAGCAGTCCAACATTCAAAAGCCATAACTTAACGAAAAGTTATCACATGTGAATTATCTTGTTGGTTTTGAGCTCAGGACACCAATATCTTTCAGACTGTAGAAAAAAGCGTCAAAAATTGCCAGTTAAAAACTGCCTGAGAAAAAAAAACAATCCGCGCATAAACCTTCCGACACTTCATTAAAAAGTCGGACACGAGCCAGAAAGGTTTTTACCTGTTTCGTTTTTCGACCTCCTCTACCAACTCATCAGTTGAGAACTGACCCTTGACAGAGTGGATCATGTTCTTAATGATCTCCTCGCTACAATCCACGTCCAACAGACCCCCCACCACAACCGGCAGTCTACTGGGGTTCACTTTCTGCACGTAGATCTCAATGTACTTCTGGTTGTTGTTCCGGTACAAGTACAGCACTAGGTCGTGCACGAAGTCGAACCTGTCGCACACTATGATCAGAGGCAGTTGGTCGTTCAATTTTGCCTCTTTCAAGAACGTCTTCACCTGAAGAAAAAAGGACTTGATTTCATTACGACTCAGTTGAACGATTCACAGCATCAGAAAAAACAATAGTTTGTTCACAAAAATACTACACCGTCTAATTATGATCAAAATCTCATGTATTTCTGAGATTGATGAGGATTCCAGTAGAGCGTAGAATTTAAGACAGCGTACAACTTGCGGAAAAAACTAACTCGAGTCGTGCGAGTCCAAATCAAGTTTCAGTAAGACTTACAAAGTTAGTCTATATTGGGTCACTTTCGAGTCTTTGTAGGATTTCCATATTCAGAATTTGGCATTTAAACAATTTGAAATTTATCTGATCCTTTAAATGGTCATCACTGGGTATAGTGGAAATAGTGTGAATTAAACAAACTCATCAGTGCTGACCTTTTCGGCGTTGTAGCAGTTGCTCTCCCTGCAGATCCTCTCGACCTCCTTGATCTGGCCCGTCTTGCATGCTGCCTGGATGTACTTGAAGTGCACATCTGCATCCTGGCTGAAGTTCACAATGGAGCCCAGGAAGTAGAACAGTCCTGAATAAGAAGAACATTAAGAAGAACATTGATATGTTCAAGAGATCATCAGGGAGGGTACAAGGAAACAAACTGTTTGCGAAAAACCCAAGAACCACTAGAGTAAACCTCGTGCATTGCTTAACAAATTTTCTAATAACTAGAATAACTCGAGCTGATCTGAAACAATGAAGGCCTCGAAGCGCCTCAGTTATTAGCGACGCCTTTCATCATTAACTTTATGCTTGAAAAATTTAATTTCATTGAGTTACTCTCAGGTGCTTAATTACAGAGACCCCGGTGCATTATTTCGCCTTAACTTAGAGTAATAACATAGCCAACCACCGATAATTCAGCACCTGAGAATAAGGGAAAAACAACTTGCCTTCGAATGACTTGAATGACTCGAATATCTCGATGAGGGATTGAGTTCCGAGTTGTTCGTGGTACTTGCTGGCTATCTGCACGCACACCTGCAAATTCTGCCGGATGTTGGCTGCCAGCATGGCCTGGATACAGTCTTTGCTGTCGTCCACAGACAGAGTGCCGAAGAAATTCACCAGCCACTAAGACAGAAAGGCACATCATCATTGATATAACTTTAAACTAAAATACCACTTGATCATAAGGATTGAACAGTTCAGGCTAATGGCGAGAAAAGTTGAACAGCTCAAAAACTGACGCTATTGTTAATCATATAATCTTAATATATTCATTTGATAATTATTTCGAGAAATAATTTATTCTGTAACCTCAAATACCATGAATACGTGTTTTCAACTTCACCTACCAAAGAAAAACTTCCGATCAAAGAAACGCCCCAAATAGCACAGCCATAAAAAGCTGGTATGTTAATGTTTCCCGGAGTATTCTTATCAAAATGCATCACGCCATATGTTAAACAACTTCTAATATGTTCTTGCTACTGAATTAAGGAAACTTCGTCGGTTTTATTGGTCAACATTCACAAATGTATATTATTTCTTCTCCTTTTTTTTATATCTTTCTATATAAAAAATTAGTTCTCTCACCTCTGAGTTGAGGAGGTGCGTGTGCACTACAGCCCTCTTGATGTCGAACAGGTCCGTGTAGTGTTCCAGTGCCCTCTGAAGGAGTCCCACCTGTTCACACATTTTGGCCACACTCGCCTTGTCATAATGGGTGAACATCTGGTTACCCAGAATCGCATCGGCCACCTGCACGAACAAACGAGGAGATGAACACATGAAAACCGCGCAGTTTGACACTTGAAAATAAGATGACGAATAAGGGTGCACTGTGAACAAAAAACATCTTTCAGCGGGTAATGAAAATTAAAATTGACCCTTTTGCGGTATTTAAAATAACTTCTCCAGGGGCTAACTTTCGGATATTACCGCCAAAATGCATTAGCTAGCTCATTGAAGTCGAAGTTCCGCTTTCAAGTAATTCGTTTAAATTCGTAAAAATTTATGTCAAAATAGAAAACATCAAAGTTTCAACACTTTAAGCGCCCTACGTTCCAGAAAGATCAATTCAATTATTAATACCGTTATCAGAAGTAGTGAGATTACCCTCTGCTATGCGATCAAACTTTTCATTAGACTATACCAAAAATAAGATAATTGAACGGCAACATACCTGTGGCGCTGACATGAGGTTCATCTCCAAGAGTCTCGTCTGCAAATCACCCTCTTCCGGTTTATTGCCTTTCAACACCTCCAGCAGAAACGAGGTACACTGCTGCACGTAATTCATCTCCGTAAACACATTCACAACCTGTCTAATATCCGCCAGTTTCTCATCGTCCTGGAACAACATCTGGGCAAATTGGAGTCCCTGATCCGGACTTGTTCGCATCACCGCTCTCAGCAGGAAGATCCAATCGGGCTGATAGTTCACTTTCTTGGCATACAACACTATCTTCGAGAACTGTCCAGTTTCGGCAAAGCACTGGATAACTTTGGCTGGAGCGTCCGCTCTCAGATATACGGACAGTGCCAACGTAGTGTCCATTTGTTTCACAAGGTCTCCCAACTCTTCAGAGCATTCTAGTTTGTTCTCTTTAAGCCATTTCTCCAGCAGTGGTTTCCTGAATTGAAAAAGATAATTTGAGAATTATTTACCAAGTAGCATTATTTTACTACCTTCTACCTTTTTAAAAAAATAATGAAAAACATCACCCACGTTATTAATGATCACGTGAAACTCCGTCTAAAAATTTGAAATAGACACCTTAAAAACGACAGAGCACTCTTATAAACAAACAACTCGTATTAATACCGCGAAGGTAACGAAATCAAGAAGTTTATCTGTAAACCAAATTCAGAATTCTGACAAGAAAAGTATGTTCAAACGACCTTTTACTCAACGCCTTCTTTATCTTCCATTCACAACTTATTCTTCCATTACAGATTTGGTTTTCAACTTTCAAAATTCAAATTTAAAAAATAGATAAAGGTAAAATTTTTATTTCGCTGGGAAATTCGATAATTAAATTCCACTTTCGACCTTTACACTTTTGCTGTTCGATAGTGGAGTTTGCCTTCCCTTTAACACAGGAAATGAAGTGAAGTTGAAAAGAAATCTAAGGTCAAACCGCGAAAAATCAACATTGAGCGTGAACAATTCGAATTAAAAAAATCATCACGACCTATATAAGAGTGTGAAATGCGTTCATCGACTCTTAATATTCAAACGACTTTAATAAGATGCCAAAAGTAACATTCTGCCAATATTTCAGATTGAATTAAATTAATCCAAAATCTATTTCCTACCTGTTCTGCTGCAAAACAGGTCGGCATAATTCGAGAGCTTCGAACTTGTTGAGCTGTCCTTTGTCCAGTAGGATCCCAAAGTACTGCAACAGAGGAGTCGTCGTCTGTCCTGGTTGCTGTGGAATCTGCTGGAACCTCTGGATGGTCTGGGGGGTCCTCAAGATTCCCTGCAACATTTAAATCTTAGGCAACCTTTGTATAAAAAAAACGCAAATCTGAGCTGCTCATATGTTGCGTTGAAGATAACGCTGCATTTATGTTAGCAGTAATTATGTGATCATTTTGGCTTTTCAAATATGATGATATCAGTTCTCCTGTTTGGAAAAAGGCTTTGGTCTCCTCAGCCAAACCAGTTAACGTTTCAGTGATATCAATGTATAAGTATAACAATAACCTTGCAGTTAACGTTCATTTTTGGTCAAAGCAAAATTGTTTCCAGTTTTGAACAGTTTTTCCTGTTTTCAGCAATTTTTGTAATTCCGAACTGAAATCATCAAAAAACCAAGCCCTCGCAATAAAATTTTTTGTTCATTTTCAATCATCAAAATTTAGTACAGTAGGGAGAAATCAAACACAGCACCAATAGGGAGATCGTCTACAAGTCATACGACATGTCGAGTCATTTCTCCAAAAATTAGTTCATCGTCAGTTTCATGAAGAACCATGGTGATATGTTACAAAAGGTGGTAATTTTGAGTATAGTGCATGTATTAAGTTTGAGAATTATATATGTATAATGAAGTCATTTCATTTTCAATCAATTGTACTACTACTATGATAATTTTTGTAAATACATTACTCGGCCAAATAAAATGCTATTCAAAAAATCAAACTTTAATTTTCTTTTGTCGAAAAATTGGGCTTATGAAATAAATTATAAATAATGTGCCAAGTATAACAAAAAGCGATCCAGCTATTTAAATTGAACCTACCACCTATTGCAATATATCACCAGAACCGTTACTCATCAGATGAAGTTCCACTGACCTTGGGTGCAGTAGCTGCCACTTTCGCTGCCTCAGCATATCTGGCTTGAGTGAACAGATTGTTGAACTGTTTCACAAACAGATCATCAGCACCAGACAAATTACACCTCTGGGCCAACCTAAGTGCCAGTTCTGGGTTGTTCAGACTACTGGATACATACGGAACCAGGTTCTCCTCATCGCAACTGACGGACAGTACTTGACCTGGGAAGAAATCATTTACCTATAATTATTATCCACTATTCAAAATAAATTTTGTAGCAAAATTTTTTACTTTTTTCGACATTAATCTGTTGTACAAAAATGAACTAATGCATACACCAGTTATTCTCATAGAACTAGAGTTGATAAATTCTTTCCTTTTTTTAGAAACAGATGTTTACACAGACGAACCCGCACTTCGCAAACACAAGCTAATAATCGACAAAAATTGGCATTAAAACGTGAAATAAGACACTAATATGTCAAAGTAAGCCTTGGCAAAAAAATCGCCAAGCGCCAAAAGTCACACATCATCGCCATTTGCTTTTGAAATTATCAGAACACTAGCCACCAACAATGCGGATAAACCTGCCAATTCTATTGCTAAAGCTGTGCAGCGAAAAATTCACCTCAATAAGGACCATTTTATTCGAGTTGGATTGGAAAAAGTGGACTCGTATTATACCTCAATGCTCGTAAGCTTGCTTGTTTAGAAACACCCTTTATGAGAAATTTGAAAAATGAAGTCAAGGTTTTGAAAACACTTCAAACAGCTTGATCCGAGGAACAATGGTGACTTGAGAGCAATAAAAACTTAGTTTTCATTGCAAAATTTAATAAGATAAAAAGGCAGCATTGAAGAAAGAGGTTTACACAAAGGCGAAGCTTCGCTTGGCAAACATTGCCGAGAACAGCTCTATAAAATGCAATAAAAAACGTAGAAAAAAGCCTCGAATTAGTAAAAACTCGGCTACGTCTCGGATTCGATCTGTGACCTTGAGTCTAACGAACTAACAACGTACGCTTTGTATACCAAAAATTAGCCACAAATCAAGCAGAGAACAGATGCTATGAAATTTCCAATGCCTCAGATCGTGATTATAGCAAAAGTGCCACCAAATAAGTGAACACTTTTAATGAACAATTTATTTGCGAGTTAGGTTAGAAAAAAAGAAGGTTCGAACTAATAAGCTACGCTTCGCAAGCTCGCTAAGGTAAAACGATAATATTTTGTGAGGGCTAGCTAGCTTCGAAAATGAGATAAAGAAAAGATTTTAAGCGGGGTCAAAATTGATCCCCCATTTTTAAGCAAAATGTCGTATGCCTCAAAATAACATCATTTTGTGCCCACTTCCATTTTCTAGACACAAGCGCTATGAATAGCTCAAGCCAAACTGTAAGCTATATCGTCGACTTTGAGCATCTTTAACACCCAGTTACAACATTAGCGTATGCTTTTGAGCTCCATACCCCTTGTTGTGAGAAATAAGATTTTGTTTCAAGAAATTCACAAATTATTTACGCTCAGATTCGTTGACCGACAATGCGATCGCCAACTATTCGGCAGTAGCTATAGTACGCTTAGTGCTGACCTTTCCTGTTGACTCCAATGATGCCACCTGAGGGTTCGTGGAGTGCGGTGACGAAGATGGTATCGGAGCTGATTCTGTTCATGTAGATGCAGACTGCACTCTCCAGATCATACATGTGGATGTAGCCACACTTCGTGATCATGAAGATCATGTGCATCTTGTCACTCACCTGAAGTGCAACAAAGTTGTCTAAAAAAAACCATTCATACCCTGCAAATTTGCGCAACTATTATAACTTTCAATTATGTCTACTTAACTTCAAACGACTTGAGAGCCACTTAATGTCGAAATTCGAATCTACGAAGCTGGGTCAACAACAACAATCATTTCCTGATAAAAAATCATTATCATTTGAGAAAAATCCTTTTTGTCTCCTGTGATACTTAACTTGACTTCTGCAGCTCGCGGCCTAACTAGAGAAGTTTCGAGGTTGCCTCTACCAACAAATTTCTAGGAAGTTTGACAACAAGATTTCATTATTTCCAAAGAACTGACAGTTCAAGTCTTCGCTCTTGAATTAAGAAAGAATCGTACAAACCTGCATAGCAACCGGAAAGTCCTGGTCTGCTTCCGGTGGGAAGAAAATATCGACTGCCTTCTTCTGGAACGGTTGATTTCCAGTAGGCGGAGTCCCCACTTCAATTATGTGCAATTTGCCCCCAGTGGCCGATCGAACAGCAAAAGAGAACAGGGTCGAATCCTCGGGGTTCCCGGGTATTCTGAACTGACAGAAGGCAGCTGCGTGACCCTCGATATGCTGACTCACTTTTCTCTCCATCGAGTAGAGCTGCATCGAACCCACCACTCGCCCAGTCTGAAACACATTTCGACTTGATTGAACTTTATTTATATACGAGAAAACTAACTTGATGAGTATCAACAATAACGGGTCTTACGATCCCTGAGGACCAAGCCTCAGAAGCCTCAACTACTACAATCATTCGATTTATTACGCTAAAACAATCTCAAAAAAGTTCGCATTCATATTAAACACGCAAAAATAGTATCATGTACAGATTACAAAGTATCACAGAGTGACGCTGGAAAATCTCGCCAACAACAAGAGTAAATTTCTATATTTCCTGGAAACCTCTTTCACGCTTTCGAAGCGAAGAAAAAATATCAGTTACGTTGCTTTAGTAGCCAAGAATTGAAAAAAAGAAAGCATCCAATTTTAATCGACTGCAAATCAGATGAAATTTCAATTGAAGTTTTTCACTTTTGTTTTGAAATTACAATGCACAAAACTGAACAGGACTGCTATACCTGAGCCTGAATGGCAACCAGCAACATCCACTTCTGGTGGTGATCCACTCGGTAGTTGATGATCTGCGACTGTGCCAAGTTCACATGTCGATCAAAGATCTTCTGTGGCTGACTATCTCCCTCCATGGACCAATGATACACAGAAGCCTCAGTGACAAGCGCGAGAGTTTTCTCGTTTATCCATTTCCAGAAAGTAACATCCTCGACCATCACGTGAGTCTTCATCTTCGTTTTCATTTCGATGTTGAAAATTTGCAGGGTCTTTCCCGCTAAAAGACAGCAAAGCATTAGACCTTCGCAAATAAAATCTCACAACTTTTTACAGTTAAGCATGATGGCAAAACCCAGATAGCGAATATTGACAACAGAAGCAGTTTCAAGATTATCAACTTACCGGCTGCAGATGAAAAATACCATGCAGTTGACCAATATTTTACTCAAATTAATCAGCAAACATAGCCAACACACAGTTGGAAATAAGTCAATGAACGAAAGGAAACAAAAAACAAAATGATTTATTTTTGAAAACAAGGCCAATGACAGATGGAAAAGAATCAATGAATGCAATTAAACAGAAAAAATAAGTCCTGAAGAAAATAGATGGCCTTAAAGCTCTTCGAGCTTTTAGATCAATTTATCATTGACACTTTTCTGATAAAATTAACCCTTGAATTTGAGAATTTATATTTTTTAATTCTACAATTTATATTTTGCTGGAAAAACTGATAATTAAAATCCATATTTGGAATTAGAAGTCGATCACGTTTTTCGTGACTTTAACACTTTCGCTGATTGATAGTGGAGTTTATCTTCCTTTAACAAAGGAAATGAACTAAACTTAAAAGAAATCTAAAGTCAAGAAATCTCCTGAAAAAAAAAACGAACAAAAAAATCACCAAGACCTAAATAAGAATCTTCACTGCGTTCAATGACTTCAAAATATGTAGCAACAACGTACCTTTTAGTGCAATGACTTTGAACGAGGGATTCATGATCGCAGAGTCAGCAGTTATTGGTCGCCTGATTGGGTTGGTAGGATCAGTCATGTCGATAATCACAACATGGTTTGTTTCTCCAACTTTCTCTCTCACACAGATGAACTTATCCGACTCCATCGTCAGAGTACTAAATCCGATGTTGCTGACATTGATGCCAACAGTTGTGAGCTACAACATATAACATTAATCATTTACGGTTTTGCCCAGACAAAGACAAAACATCTTCAGGAAACTTACCTGTAAATGCTCCTGAAACTTGATTGGAAGTTGTTGAGTCATAGCTTCTAAAAAAATTAAAACCTGCAGCATACCATCAGAGAAAAACGAAGTTGTTTCGTGCGTCGATCAAGTTTTGGACCTTTCAAAAATCGTAGGGTCACTTGCATCTACGAGTCGTACCTGACTTGGCGTGAAAAAAAATCACTTTCCTTTATTTCTTTCAACCCTAACGTGAGTTGTCGTATAAACAAAAATAGCAGTTTGCTGTGCCAATGGCACAATAGTCGATACTAAATTGCGCTAAATTTGAAGGCCTATGATTTGCAAAAAAAAAATATTTCTGTTTTGATCCGACCACAGAAAATGTGGAGGAACTTAAGTCTTCTGTTTTTTTTTAGTTTATGAATTTAACACGCGAAATCAGAGATCACAAACAATCATCGGAATGGTTCGAAATGTTGTGATTGTTGTGATAAACTTATTAAATAGTTTTAAATTTGATATGGCACGCAACAAGCGTCTTGCAAGTGCAAGTAATTCAATGTGCGGGTCCTGCAGCAGAAAAATCACGGACAAAGAGGAACAAGCAATCCAATGCGACAAATGCGACAATTGGCTACACCAAAAATGTACTGATGTCCCGCTGGAGGCCCTCAACCTATTCGATGTTGTGAAAGGAATCAAATGGTTTTGTGACCATTGTCTTAACCCCGTAAAACAACTGATGGCCAGAAACGAGTCCATGGATGAGGCCGTTGGAATCATTAAGGCAACCATATCAGAACTGAAGGAGGATCTCAATAAAGCTAAGTATAATTCTACGTCACTAATAACTTCCAACCCAACCCCGCCAGCACCCAACGAAAATAATTTAGAAATTAGAGTAAATGGAATAAAGGAATATACACGGAAGAAAGACGCAAATGGCAAAGATATAAGTGCAACTCAAGACGAAATTTTGTCTCATGATTCGTATGAAATTGAAAAAGTGCTTAACCACCTAGGGGAAGAAACAAACTGTATCGCCGACTTAAAACGTCTGGGAAAATTTGACAAAGACAAAAAACGCCCTCGTACTATTTTACTGCGACTGAACAATACCTGGACTGCGAGAAAACTTCTAGCGAAAGCAAAGCAGCTGAAAACCTTCGAGGGAGCAACAAAAATGTTTATATCTAAAAGTTTGAATAAAGAGGAACAAGAAATAGAAAATAAATTATTGATGAAAAGAAGAGAATTGATTAACGACGGAACAACCACAAAAGATATACGCATAATAGGACTGAAATTATATGTCAATGGACACGAAACCAAAATTGATTGACTATCAAGTACTACGGAAGATTTAGATGTATTATGTTTCAATATCAGAAGTATATACCTTCTTCAGCGTAGAGTGGAGCTTTCATCATTTCTTGCCTCGCAGAACTACAACATTATTCTAATATCAAAAACTTGGCTTACCGATGAACAGGAAGATAGCGAAATTTTTCTGCCGTCTTATCAACTATTTAGATCTGATAGAAAAGCTCCTAAAGGTCAGACAAAGCACGGAGGCGTTATGATTGGAATTATGCACTCATTTCATTGTCAAAAAATATCACTACCTGAAGAAAGCCAAGGTGCTGCTGTAGGGTGCATAGTAAATTTTCAGAACAGAAAAATATTAATTGTTTGCTTCTACAATCAACCGCAAACCAGCCACTATCACCTTAACGATGAAATGATCAAATTAATTTTTAAAGAAATTGAAACATTGATGTCACAGGTTGATGCAACAATAATCTACGGCGATTTCAACTTGGATATCGACTGGAACATCAGAAGTAGCGAAAATTGCGAATCTCAGAGTTTACTTGATGTAGTTGATCACCTTGAACTAGAACAACATATAGATTTCCCAACAGCTGCTACGGGTACTTTAGATCTCTTATTCTCAAAAGGTGAACTGAATCTCGTCTCAACGAAAGTCAAACCCTTATCCATTTCAAGCATGTCAAACCATTTTCCAATTACAGCAAAGTTTGAAATTCGAAAAGTAAACAATGTTTTCCGATCATACCACAATGAGTCGAAAATGTTCAGCTACTGTAAAGCCGATTTTAAAGCCTTAAATGCGGATATAATAGACAACCCTTTTCAAAGCTTCTGTTGGTCTAACCCTGATGTGTTATTGTCGGACTGGTATAAATGGTTGAACATCAAAATTGAACGCCATGTCCCTACTCGAACAAGGCATCGAGCCAGACTCGCGCCATGGATTACCCAATCCACATCCAATATCATCATGAAATTGAACACCGCTAAGAAAAAGTACCCAGCTCTGCACAACCGTGTTTTATCTCTACAAAAAGAATGCGATTTTGCCGTTGAACAAGACCAAATTAACTTTGAATCAGAGCTATCTGATTCTAGATCAACTGATAAGCTTTTCAAATTTTACCGTACATTCAAGTCGTCCAGAATACCATCAAAACTTATTTATGGTAGCAAAGAAGCTCAATCAAATGCCGAAAAAGTGGAACTTTTTGCCGATTTCTTTGACGATAATTTCTCAAAACCCTCCGATCCTCCAAGTCTTGGTGAGCCTCAAAACTTATCAACCACGAAATTAGATGATTTTGATATCTCGGAGCAACGCATACAAAACATCTGCAGAACTCTGGACTGTACAAAAGCAAGTGGCCCAGATAAAATACCCGCAATTCTTTATAAGAACTGCTCAAAAAACATCGCTAAATCACTAAATGTTCTTTTCTATAAGATCAAACAAACCTGCATTTTCCCCAGCTATTGGAAATGCGCGATCGTTAACCCGACTCATAAGAAATCGTGTAAATATATGATGGAAAACTACAGACCGGTTTCGTTACTTGCAATCGTATCTAAAATTTTTGAGCGAGGTATGTTCCTCGACATCTACGAATTTTTCGAGCCGCTCATCTCCAACCAGCAATACGGTTTCCGCAAAGGACGATCATGTTTAGTTCAAATGATTGTTTATCTGAACAAGGTCTATAAAGCAATCAATGATGGAAAATCTGTAGAAGTTGTGTACACAGATTACGAAAAGGCATTTGACAGAGTAGACCATCAATTATTGCTGCGCAAAATTCAAGATATCGGTATAAGTGGGAAATTGCTCAAACTACTCCGCTCGTATCCTACCAAATGTACCCACAAAATAAGGGTAGAAAATCAATTATCCACAGAAAGATTATTAAACAGTGGTGTCCCACAAGGGTCAATATTAGCAAGCATCTTATTTCTTATCTACATAAATGACATACCATCGCAATGTAAATTCTCTACACCTCTCATATGCGCCGATGATGTCAAATTCATTAACATCAATCAACAGAGCAACATTTTTCAAACTGATCTAGACAGAGTGTTCAAATGGAGTTCATCTCACAAACAAACGCTGCATGTTGGTAAATGCTCTTACATGAGCTTTACAGGTGAATGCAACCAAATGACTTTCAATAATATTGCAATACCGGAAGTTGAAGTACAGAAAGATCTTGGGTTATTAGTCTCGCGGATTATGAAATGGAATGAAACTATAAGCAATAATATATCCAAAGCCCTTAAGACCTTTTATATGCTGAAACGAAACACTCCAAAGGGACTACCAATGCGAGTGAAACTTAATATATTTAAATCGATGATTTTACAAGTGCTGTTATATGGGTCAAGTTGCTGGGCAGCAAGCATTAAAATGCTTAGATTGATCGAAAAAGTGCAAGAGAAAGCACTGACATGGGTAAATGGCCGGAACGACTACGTAACAAATCTGATGCAATGCAACATTTTACCGCTGACCTTGTATATGCACATATTGGATCTACTATTTATGTCCAAGATGTTGAATGGTTACCATAAAATTGATGCCACAGAGTATTTTTGTTTAAAGGAATTCGACAGAGCCACCCGGTTATCAGAGAAACCTTTTTTCGAACTGCCGAAAATAAAGAAATCTATCTACCAACAGGAGTTTTGGCTCAGAACCTGCAAACTTGTGAACATCTTACCAAATTCAATCGACTACTCCAACCATCAGGGACTCAAACCACGACTACTGAAGCACTTCTGGAATTACTTCATGACAAACTATAGATACAACGATATTTCGACATGGAAACTTGCATGACGCTGAAACTTAAGGGTGGAAACACCCAAGCTCTAATAGCTGAATCCATAATAATTATAATAATAATAATAATAATATTAAGGGTGCCGGACATCAAGCCGACGGGACTTCAAGCCGAATCATAAAATTAGGGACTTCAAGCCGAATAGTTCCATGAAAACTCATGAAATATGTTTAATTTAAAAACTTTTTTGAAGAATTTCTGAATTTCATGATCTTTCTTCACAAGTTATTGGCGTTTTCATAAAACTTGAGACTCCAAATGATGTTTCGGAAAGTTGAAAAATAAATCACGGTTGAAGGTAATTTTCTTGTTTATAATTTATGCATTTCAAAAAACGGCTTGTATTATTAACTTATGCCAATACTAAGTGATTCATTGTCATAAATAACGCTTATTATGGACTAAACTAGCCTAATATTTTGAAAAGCAACGTTTAACAGATGAAAAAATAATGATTTGAGGTGCTTGTAAAGTTTAATTTTCGGCCTGAAGTCCCTTCGGCTTGTTGTCCTAGACCCGAATATTATATCATATACAGGTACACAGGTATCTTCTGACTTAAGGGCTTCTCATCCTCTGTCGATCAGCTTCTTCTGCGGATGTCCAATTCGTCATTCGAGAAATGATGTATCACACATATTATTTCACCAGTGTATCGAACCTCGATTTGAACAAGCTGTGAACGCTGGAAATCACAGACTCTGGTAGTGCGTCCAGTCGTTTATGGCTGCTATAGTGAAGAAGCTACTTCTAAAATTTGAAGCTACTCCAAATACAACTACTACTACTACTACTGATAAAAGACTTAAATTACCCCGAGGGGAATACGGGTCTAGGACAACAAGCCGACAGACTTCAAGCCGAGAAACAGTCGCCTACTCAAGTTACATATGAGGTTAAAGAAAATAATGCCCTATAACTATTGGTTCAAGAGTCAGGGACACTAGCTCTTGTGTTTTTCTACCTCAAGCGGTCGGAGCCAATTCGGTTCACTTGCGACATGAGACTAAAACCCGCGTTACAGCCTAAAGGCCACTAACAAAATACCCCCACTTGTAACATTCTCCTCGAAGTACATATCTAAGGAAAATAAAGCTAGGTTCTAAAACGACTGGCTTGCGTCTAAACCCAGCTGTACATGCTTTTCACCGTCTCTGCCAAAGCCAGTTCTTTTGGTGGTTTTCCTAACATCGGGTCGACAAAAACGTCACTGCTTCTGGCTTCGGTCAAAACACTCAAATTAACTCAATTATATGCAAGAATAGTGAACTCATGGCTGGGTCTCAGTATCCCCAGACCACGAGGTCACTCTTCAAAACAGGGCTACTACTA